CCCGAAAACCATTCTGAGTGTCCCTAAGTACCCCTTCTATAGCCGGCTGGATCCTATTAAGCACCATTCTATTAAGAGTCTTAGCTACAAGTGAAGTCAAAGATATCCCCTCCAGTTTCCAGGGTTTGTCAAGTCTCCCTTTTTGGGGACTGGAATGATGTTGCTTATCCTCCACTGATCTGGCGCAATACCATCTGTCAGGGCTTTGTTGCAGAAGGACAACACGATTTCATCCAGGTCGCATCTTTTGAGGACTTCAGGTGGTATACCTTCATCACCTGGTGCTTTACCTTCTTTAATTTTAATCCTGAGTTTAGCAGCTTTGAGCTCCTGTAGAGTTAAAGGTTCTGTACTGATGTTGAGTCCTTCAAATTGAGTCTCGATGCTAGGATGCTCGTTTTCCACATCAGGTGTACTCCCTAACAGATTCGTGAAATGCCTAAGCCAATTTTCCTTCCTCTCTTCGGCTCCGTTGCCCCTTATTTGAGTAGCCCCCTTGGCCTTCCTACCAGTAATCTCATTTATGACATTCCAACTTTCTTTATTTTTGCATCTGTCTGCAGCCATTTCGACCCTTCTAACCTTGGCAACTAGATCTTCTTCAAAGATGTCCTAGTACACCTGATCCAGTTCAGCCCTACTCACCGATTAAAAGGGCAGATCACATATTTCAGATTTCATAGTCTTGAAAAAGAGTCGACTCTGTTACAAGTTAAACATCTAATTCAGTACCGCACTACAAAGCAGTGTCCTTGATTCGTTCCTGCGTGGGATTCTGAGAATGTGTGGCGAGGTTTTCAATTCCTTCTTCTCCAATTTGCTCTGCTGTTCTAATTTCACCTACCTCAACAGCTTCAGTAGTAGTTGATCTTCTCCATATTTTTCTTAATGATCGTATTACACTCGTGAGTGATCTTCTTAATGTCTCTGTTAGCGCTTGGTAAAATTTTGTTTTGGTAATAAAGATTATAAGTCTCTGGATAGGGACAATAATCAGCTTGACTAAAGAATCGTCATAAATCAGAGGGTTTACGACTGAGTTGATCGGGAGGATGATCACGGAGAATATGCTATACCAAGGAGTTGCATCCAACAGTTCAAGGGAGTGTAGCACACAGATTACTATGAAGGGGATCCAGCAAAGGAAATCAGTAATGATTATAATGGAGATTCTTTGGTTCATTTTTGTATTCCGTTGGGAAATGGACTCATAGGTGTCAGACTGTGCTACAATATCAGACGATTTCCGAGAAATGTAGCCAATCACCAAATAAGAAACTGTGATCAATATGAAGCACACAAAGTTCAAGGCAAGGATGAATCACACGAACACCCTTTGTGGGTCATTGTTTTTGACAAAATATTTGAACAAGCAGACTCCATCGTTTCCATAGAAATCAACCCTCTGGATTTGTGTCGTGTGGTCTGGGTATTCAAAATCGTGAGAATACATTTCATTGACCATTTTATAAATCATTCTCCAACTCAGTTTAGTGTCCAACATTCTTCCGTAGTACGACTCAAGGACTGCTGAAATTGTCTGCTTGTTTGGCGTGCCTATAAATACTTTTAGGTCTTCTTGAAAGTTTACACCGTTGACAAAGAAGTCCTGAAATTTGCCAATAATTGGAATGACAGCGATGATCAGTGATGATATGATCATGATTATCAAACACAGTACGAATTGCAACGAAAATAGCCAGGTCACCTTTCCCGGCATTCTCATAGAATAGAATATTCCATACATTCGGGTAAGGCCCAGGCCACACATGGCAAATAGTGAGAGTTGAGACCCTACGGTGCTAAGAACACCGATTGTTGAGCAGTCGAAGCTTGTAATCCAATTGATTTGTTTAAGGCAATAATCTTCTCGAAAGATGATCCTGTCATAGGAAGAGATTATCAATAGGTAACAGCCGACAAACAAGTCTCCGACCGATATTGCAATGACAAACGATTTGTTTATTAGAGCAACTGTTGTCTTGCATCTAGTTAAGGTTGGCACGCTTTTAAAAATAATGATAACGTTAGCTAGCACAGCTAAAAATCCTACGAACCACGATAGTACGTTTAAAGCAGAACCACCTAAAATACGTTTTGAACAATGGACATTGCATTCATCGGATAAGTCCAAACAATCAAACAATCCATCACACTCACTGGTCTTGGGTATGTAATGTCCTGTTGAGTTGCATTTAAAATGGTTAGTACAGGGTTCCTCGTCTGAACCATCTCCACAGTCATCCACAAGATTACAAACTTTTGAGTAGTCGATACACTTGATTTTGTTGTCACAAACAAAATATCTGTTTGTGTAGAACCTTCCGAATGATTTTGTGAAAAACGCTAGGTATTTATTATTAGCTACAGTTCCTATCCTATTCGGGTATTGTTCAGGACACACCTCGTATCTAGGAATGTTTTTTAATGGACAGGGAGAGCTGATACAATTGTGAGTACAACTGGTGTACACGTACAGCTCTCCAAACATGTGGTCACAACTTTGAAGTTCTCTCGGTACGATCACTGAAGTTCTATCTGCTACTCCAAAAAAATTGTGATTTGGGAATATGAATGATGGAAACGTTGTGCAGTCCTTAAGATGTCCACTGGTTTTTAATCCTTTTAGGCAAAACGAGAGATGTTTACTCAAACCGTTAGCACTTGTCAGAACAGTCGAAGAAATTCGGAGATTACTCCGGGCCTCAGAGCAGACTTTATTTTCATTTCCGCAGGTTTCAAGTCCATCACAAAGATCTTTCAGCTCCACAAGACTAGGTTCATTCCATGGACAGAGCAGCACATTTTGACAGTTTTCTTCAACTTCGACAAATCTCAAGGAAATACCTTTTCCACAAGTGGGCCAGATGGTCTCCTCATCTCTCCCATCGATACAGTCCAACACTCCATCTTCTAACCAAGAGAGTGGTATTGGCAGTTCCCCTGCTTCTCCAATACGTCTTTTACATTTTTGTTGGGTCTGCTTGTCGCAGCTAAAATGTGTTTCATCTTTTTTATCGTCGCAGTCTTGTCGTCCATCACACATGAGATGTTTGTGCACATGGCAATCAAACGATAGTCCCAAACAGGTGTTTTCAATGTTATCATCACATATTTGCTCACCAAAACAAATCATGTACTTTGAAACTGTAGACATATATCCGTTTATCTGACAAGAGACACCGACCCTGCTAGGGTCAGAGCAATTTGTCTGCTCTGTATAATCTGAGCAATAATCTGTTTCAAAGCAATAATCTATGCAAATATTCGTCCAATCAGATTGGTGATCTATAACTGTACATCTAGTATAATTGTGAATTGGGATGATACGATGTGTCAATACTCTGGCACAAGTGTCCACTGACTCATCTGTTACGGTACAGTTTTCTTCGTCTTCTCCGTTTAATAAACAATTCCACGTTCCATCACATATTGCATGTAGTGTAACATAGTATCCGTCTTCTTTACACCACATGCCATATCGGTATCCGTTACAGATAGCCTCATCCTCGCAGGACTGTATGTCGCAGACATCATCACATACCAGGCTGCTTTGCACTGTTATAGTACCACTCAATAAGGTCGTCATGTTCGTAAGATCAAGGCATCCTTCTTCATCCAAGTCACTATTAATACAATCAGTTTTACCATCACAATACTTACCCGTATACTTAAGTGAGTCGAGTGTAACCAGAAAGTTGCTACGACTGATCACACACAAGACGTCGCCACAGAAACCCTCATCATTTGTAATAACCTGTGATTTCTCTATCCCACAAAGCTGATAAAAGTTTGGGTCATCCGAACAGAGCTGTCCCCTCATATTGTTACTACCCAAAGCCTCTTTATATTCATAATATTCATCAGTGTTGTGGCACTTGAATCTTAAATTGTCGCTTATTCCGGTGAGGCAGGAATACTTGAGGAATCCATTCTGTTCTTTTACAAAACACGCTTTACCTGTGCGATAATTACTATAACTTTACTTGTGTAATAACTAATATAGCTATACCATGAATTATGTAACGGATCGTATGCCCGCCAATTTGGTTGTTTCAATTGTTTGAAATATAATGCCCGGCTTATCTGCAGTTAAATTGAGCACTTTCATTGGGAAATAAAGCAATAACTTATTAATAATTATTAGTATATAATATGTATGTATATATTTGTTCACCAAAATCCAAATTGGGCGGAGTGGACCGCACAAAAGGAAATATGGTATCAACTTGAATTACTGTTCTAAAATGCAAAATGATACCGAGAATGAAATGAGTCACTAATGAGCCAACTCAATCGGATCCCGAAACACATATTTTTCACCTAATATAACAACCATATAACAACCATATATAACTACCACAGCATTATTCATGCAATTCGGGGCAGCTTCTATTCAAGAAGCATGAAATTGAATCATGTTTTAAAATCTTTATTAGGTTTTTTATAGCTTCACAGAAAATCAAATTGTAATGATCATTCGTATTGACTCCTGTAATTTAAGCTAAACTGAAGACGTACCTTCAGTTTTACATATGAATTCATTCTCATCTGAACCATCTGGACAGTCTTCTTTCCGGTCACATATGTACTCCTCATTGATACATTGTGAACCGTCCAAACATTTTACTAGATTCCCTGTTCCTTCACAGTAGTAGTCTGTTTGGGTAATAGACTAATAGCTATCAATATAATAGTAACGGGTGATGAATAAAAAATGGGACTACATGTTTTTTAGCCCTCAGATTCCACCTGAACAAAATTTTGATATTTTATCACAACCACCAGTTACTCTGAACGATACTCGAACAGTTTCCGCCCCCATTTGATCAAATTGGTTGATCTTTGTCCCCGATAATGGTCTCGAACTAGGGGAGGGGTCCTATAAAAGTTTTACAGTAAAGCACTGTTCACAGAAGTCGCCTCACAGGTAGTTAAAGCTTCCATACCAAAAAATATTTAGCAGAGAGTATGCTGAATTTTATGCTTAAGACGAGGGTTCAACACCCATCAGCGTAGCTAAAACCAGTAAGAAGATATTTGAGCTCAAAACCACCTGAGGGGTAAAATTTTACCGTGTGAAAGATCGAGGCTAGGTCAACTATCGGCTTTAGCAAGATCTATAATGGTTCCACGTAAAAATCAAAGTGCTTGGAGCCTTGCCTGGTGTTGTTCCTACAAGAAAATATCCCCAAAGGTTGGAAGGTGGTTCGTTAGGATGGGGCTAGATCGTATTTTTCTATGAAAACCACATCTTTATTTGCCATAGGGTTAATTTCGTCCCAAAAGTGATCGACCAAAGTAAATTTTGACAATCTCAACCCATAGAGGACTTCTTTAGTATCCTGGCAACACATGTACATGCCCAGAATATGGCTAACAAGCATACATGGGCCCTAGGGCACAAAAGAAGAGACTGCGCCAACACGATTTTAGGCCCAACTGTACAGACGAATTTTTGAGCTTGAAGAAAGAAGCCCTCCTGAACCAATCAAAATGGGCTCATGGGCGCTTGTCATTGACCATACTTGTTCAAAATTGCCCGCTTTACAACGCTGTTTCATTGGTTTGAACCAAAAATAGTTTTATCGACACTAAAAAGACCCTTGAAAAAAGTCCCATTTTTTAGTCATCACCCGTTACTAATTTAACATTATGACTATGAAGGAATTTGTTCGTGTATTGGCGCTTAAATTGTTTATTATCAATAGCAACTGACAAACCTTTACAGAAAGGTCCGTTCTCATCTGAACCATCTATACAGTCTTCTTCACCGTTACATATGTAATTCTCCTGGATACATTGTAGACCACCCGGACATTTTACCATATTATATTCGATACAGGTGAAACCTGTTTGGGTAATAGTTAATATAGTGATACTAATTTAACATTAAATGAAGGAATTAATTCGTGTATTGGCGCTTAAATTGTTAGCAGCTGATACTGTTAATAGCAACTGACAAACCTTTACAAAAAGTTCCGTTCTCATCTGAACCATCTATACAGTCTTCTTCACCGTCACATATGTAATTCTCCCAGATACACTGTAGACCGCCCGGACATTTTACTTGTTCGCCTTTACAGGTGTAGTCTGTTTGGATAATATTATTATTATTATCTAACTTATAAAACAATCTCGAAATAGTAAAGAAACATCTTAAGAGACTGATAAGTGCCCAAAAAAACATAACAGTTCTCTGAAAAATAAAGGTTAATTATGAGGTAAATAATTTTGTCCACAAAACTCTGTTAGAGGCAGTAGCCCTAAGATCATAAAGATCATTAATATCACGTAATGGTAGGTTTCTTTTATTCAAATCATTTATAATAAACTTTAAAAGATTACTTTGGTGTCGACCAACACGTCCTTTCATGGTAAATAACGCATTAACAGCAAATTGAAGAGCTCTCTGAGCTGGTGATGAGCAGTCACTGCGAAGGACATGTCCAAGCATTTTCCAGCGAGCATATATGTCACTCGCTCTGACAACGGTGTTACACCACAGCGTTCATAAAGTGCTTTATTACTGATAATAATGGGATAAGTCATCTTCAATATTTGACGCAGGTGTCTTCTATGACATGCATCAAGTTTGTCAAATAGGTTCTGAGGGGTAGCCCAGCTATTGCAGTTATAGAGCATAACAGATGTAACGTATGCTTCGTATATCTTAATCTTGGTCTTCAGATTAATCTTAGATCCTTGCATCCAAACTTTCTTGTATTTTTCGAATGCGACATTTCCAAGGATTATACGATGCTGTATGTCTTCTTTACTACATAGCTTAGAGCCTAGGGACACACACTTCCTCCAAGGTTCTCTATTTCTTAGAGGTTCTCCTTTGTTCTTCTGTTTCTGGTAGGAATACTGAAATAGGAGGAGTGTCCTTTGTGCTTGAAACTGCTCTGGTTGCTTCGAACATTCTTCTGGTATCATCAGTGGAGTTGATCGTCTCAGCTAGAAGGTCGGCATGAGCGGTTTCAAGTGTAATAAGGCGCTTTGCAATGTCATTCTTGAGTCTGTTGATTTCCTTACGCAGGATAGTTCTGTCACGCATTTTGTTGTCGTTTAAATGTTGTAGTAATTGGTGTCTCTTTTCTGGCATAGAGACGACTTGTGGGTCTGATGTTCTGTGACGTTTGGCTGTGTTTCTTTTCATACCCACTGTTTCAGATGCAGCAATTTTAACCGCCTCGAAAAGGTTGTTAAAACTTTCAGTGACTGACTGGGCAGATGTATCAGTTTCAATCTTCTGAGCAGCATTTTGTTGAAAAGAACTTTGAACATCTTTGCTACAAACCAATGAGTTGGTGTTATACTGCTTGACTTTGTGTTTGGCAGTACTGTAAAGTTTGTAACGTTTACTGAGGTCAAAAGTTGCTTTTACAATTTTGTGATCAGATTGAAGTTTTGCACCAGCGTAAGACCTAGCGTCAACAAGCAGAGGGGTACTTCTAGATCTACATAAAACATAATCAATTTGAGAAAACCAGGGTACAGACTTTTTGGATCTACGGTCTTTAATCCATCCTGTAAAAGTGTTGGTGTGTCTGCTCGCATGTGAAAATGCAGTGTTGGCTGCATAGAGTCCATTAGTGATCATGAAAGCTAGCAACCTTTCGCCATTTTCGTTACGCCGACCAATACCATGTCTTCCCATGTTAGTTTGAAGACCACTTTCAAAATCTGATTTAGTCCGTTTCCCTAGCCTAGCATTAAAATCACCCATGATGAAAAGTTCATGTCTGGCAGGAATTCTGATAGCTTCCTGGAGCTCACAGTAAAACTCATCAGCAATGCGTGGGTTCTGTATAGATTTGACATTAGTTGGACTGTAGCAGTTTATAATACGGGCTTTCAGTGATGGTTTCCCATGAAACTTTGATGGTAGAGAAAGGTCCATGTATGCTACTCTGTCACTGATTTGATGGTACGAGACAACATTTGATACAAATTTACTGTTGATAATAAAACCGAGTCCGCCATGCCAAGACAACTTCTGGTTAAACAAAAGAAGCCTGTGGTTGCCGGGTATAACAGTGTCTGAGTGTTTAGACACCTTAGTTTCTTGGAGGGCTATAACATCCAAGTTGTATCTGTCGCAATCATTTGCAGCTAGATGCTGCGAGTGTTCCTGACTAATGCCTCTAACATTCCATGTGGCGAAGTGGAGAGATGCCACCGTGAAAAAACCGAACAAAACAAAGCTGAAGAGAAGAACTGTAGGCTTCTTGGAAGCGTCAGACAAAAAGTAAAGAGACAGTACGTGTGCTGGGTACGTGTGTTCTTAGCACTATTATGTGGCTGTGTTAGAATCATGAAACTCTGTCCAGAATTGCTTCTGTGAATCAGTTCCAAAGTTGAAAAGGGTGTTTTTGCAAAAGTGGGGGTCTGGGCTTATACTTTGAGTTTACTTTCCGTTCAACTGAACGACGTTTCTAGGACGGTTTATATATTCGATGGTTTGTGACAATTCCTTGTGTTCCAAATGGACTACTGGTTTTGTTTCATAATCACGTTCCCTCTATGGAAAGCGCCTTAATGAACGAGATGGTAGTCTCTCTACTTGTTTTCCCAACCATAGCTATCTATTATAGAGTGGTACTAATTTAACACTATGAAGGAATTTGTTCGAGTATTGGCTCTTAAATTGTTAGCAGCTGATACTGTTAATAGCAACTGACAAACCTTTACAAAAAGCTCCGTTCTCATCTGAACCATCTGAACAGTCTTCTTTACCATTACAATAAATGTATTCCTCGTTGATACATTGTAGACCACCCGGACATTTTACTTTTCCTCCTTTACAGGTGTAGTCTATTCGGGTAATAGCTCTCTATAGTATAGTGGTACCAATTTAACACTATAAAGGAATTTGTTCGTGAATTGGCGCTTAAATTTTTAGCAACTGATTATGTTGATAGAAACTGACAAACCTTTACAGAAAGATTCGTTCTCATCTGAACCATCGAAACAGTCTGCCTTACTGTTACACATTTTTCTCTCCTTGATACATTGTGAAATGCCCGGACATTTTTCCATTCCCTCTCTACATGTGTAGTCTGTTAAGGTAATAATTATCAATAAATTATAGTGGTACTAATTTAACACTATGGCGTCTATGAAGAAATTTGTTCGTGTATTGGCGCTTAAATTGTTATCAGCTGATACCATTAATAGTAACTGACAAACCTTTACAGAAAGCTCCGTTCTCATCTGAACCATCTCGGCAGTCTTCTTCACCATTACAGTACATGTATTCCTCCTCGATACATTGTAGACCACCCGGACATTTTACTTTTCCTCCTTTACAGGTGTAGTCTGTTTGAGTAATAGTTATCAATATATAGTGGCACTCATTTAACATTATGACTATGAAGGAATTTGTTCGTGTATTGGCGCTTAAATTGTTAGCGGCTGATACCATTAATAGCAACTGACAAACCTTTACAGAAAGCTCCGTTCTCATCTGAACCATCTGAACAGTCTTCTTCACCGTTACACATGTAACCCTCTGAGCTACATTGTAGACCACCCGGACATTTTACTTTTCCTCCTTTACAGGTGTAGTCTGTTTGGGTAATAGTTATCAATATATAGTGGTATTAGTTTAACGCTATGACGAAATTTTTTCGTGTATTGGCGCTTAAACTGTTAGCACTAGCAGCTGATATCATTAATAGCAACTGACAAACCTTTACAGAAAGCTCCGTTCTCATCTGAACCATCTGAACAGTCTTCTTCACCGTTACACATGTAACCCTCCTCGATACATTGTAGACCACCCGGACATTTTACTTTTCCTCCTTTACAGGTGTAGTCTGTTTGGGTAATAGTTATCAATATATAGTGGTACTGGTACTAATTTAACACAAGGAAGGAATTAGTTCGTGCATTAGCACTTAAATTGTTAGCAGCTGATACTCAGTGGCGTAATGACGTTGCCTGTTGTGTTTCTAGAACAAAACAGGCAGTTTTGCTAGTACCGTAGTTAAGTTTTTCAAAATTGTCCCACATACAAACGACGATTCCCCCCCCCCCCCCCCCCCCCCCCCCCCCCCCAGCAGGGTCAGCGGGCCCTTCGTTACGCCACTGCTGTTACTGTTAATAGCAACTGAAAAACCTTTACAGAGAGCTCCGTTCTCATCTGAACCATCTGAACAGTCTTCTTTGCCGTCACACATTATAGAATATTTGTTGAAATCCCACACACATTGTAGACCACCCGGACATTTTACTTTTCCTCCTTTACAGGTGTAGTCTGTTTGAGTAATAGTTATCAATATATAGTGGTACTAATTTAACACTATGACTATGAAGGAATTTGTTCGTGTATTGGCGCTTAAATTGTTATCAGCTGATACCATTAATAGTAACTGACAAACCTTTACAGAAAGCTCCTTTCTCATCTGAACCATCTCGGCAGTCTTCTTCACCATTACAGTACATGTATTCCTCCTCGATACATTGTAGACCACCCGGACATTTTACTTTTCCTCCTTTACAGGTGCCTGTTTGGTAAAAGCTATTTATATAATCGTACTTATTTAACGATTCTGGGGCAAAATTTGTAGTGTTCCCGTTTGTTGCGACAAGGAAACGGCTTTTACATACGTTTCAATGTAAAATTATTTATTATATAGAAGAGTTGAAAGTATTAAAATATCTCCTTATGCTGATAAGAGCCTTTTCCTTGTCGCAACAAACGGGATCACTACCTATTTTGCCCCAAAGTCATTACAAAAATGCGACTAATAAATAATGTTCCGTTCCGAATATTACAGTTACACTAATTTAAAATATTAATAAAGTAAGTTTCTGCTCTTTTCGTAGAAATCCGAAACTTTTCTAGTCTAAGTTTTATTTGATCCGGAGTTTACAGGTGGCTCTTTTCGTAGAAATCTGAAACTTTTCTAATCTAAGTTTTATTTGGTCCGCAGTATACAGGTGGCTCTTTTCGTAGAAATCTGAAACTTTTCTAATCTAAGTTTTATTTGGTCCGGATTTTACAGGTCCGAAATTCATAAAAGCTGCACTTTCAAATTAACACAATCTAACATTTTACCTGGTTGCCGTGGTTGCTGTAAAGATAGCTGGCAGATATTCGATAGCACCAGTAGAAGTTGAATTATCATTATCATGACTGAATATGAATGTGTACAGATCAGCTGAGAGTTTCAAAGCACAAAGTATTGCAGTATTTTTTTAATTAATTTTTTTGATCTCGGTACTTCATTTCGTAAATCCGTCGATATATAATTATGAAATTAACAATTCAGTGACACTGACATGAAATCCAACTATTTTCGTATTTTTCAAAGTTGCAAAAAAACTATTCTTACTTGATGAATTTGACATTGAAAAAGTCAGACA